GAGATTATAATATGAAACGTTTAAGCAATTTATTCCTCAAATGTTAATAGGCAATGCAGTAAAAGTACTGTAGATAAAATTTGTTTAAAACCAATAGGAACTCACTACTCTATTTGAATCTTAAATAATTTGATTAATACATTTATTTTTCTTACCTACGTAAAATAAATGTATCTTTATATACATACTGTGTGAAAGAATGTATTTCTCGAAAAAAATATATATGCTATGTAAAATTAAAATGATAAAACTTGAAAGAGAAAACGTAATAAAATTGACAAAATTCAAAATATATTAAAATATAAACTCGTATATTATTATCGTTTTCGAATATATTTTGGAACGTTTGAACATTTTTTTGTCAATATGCAATATCATCTTTGAATCGCTATAGGTAAGGGAAAATTATGCTGTGCATATATTATTACTTCAATGAATATCTAGCAATATTATACTTGTTTTATTATTATTTCATTTAGTTCAACTATAACCAACCTACTTGTGTGTAAAATGAAATATTCAGTTTTATAATTTTTTATGAAATTCGATTCTTCAGTTTACTTTCCTCTACATGTATAATGCATTTAGTTTACCTACTATAGCTACCCATTTGTAGTCTCGGAGGAAATATTTAAGTATTTATAACGTAAAAATTGTATAAAACTTAAATTATTTGGTTAACATTGTGTGTGGATAAATCACACCAAACATAACAAGCAAATTGATATTACTATTACTATACACATGATTATACCTACAGAAACAGCCAAAGGGGATAACCTAATGCTTCTCAAACGTGAATGTGTCAGGTACGTCTACGTATGTTAAGATCAGGACCGCGTAAGTCGTAACCGTGGTAAGTTTGCTGCAATTAGACATCTCAACGTCATAAGAATATAACATAAATTACTAAAATTAATGCTATTAACGTGTATGGAAAAGTTTCTACTGCAGGCATATCAATTATCAATAACAAAAGTTTATTCGTGATTTCGAACAAAGGTTTTTCGATTACGAGTATGACTATATTTATTTTAGCCGGTTTGGGGGGGGGGGGGGTGACACTGTTTGAAATGGTAAGTACATGAAACGTTTTCGTAAAATAGAGTTCAACATTTCAAACTATAGACTAGAACGGTAGAAATCGTTAACTTATCGACTAATCAGTATATTATGTTTTAAGAATAACTGCATACCTAATAATATATAATTTATAGAGGTGCTCGTCGAGTACCAAAGTGGCCAAATTATTATGGTGAACAAACGAACACGTCTTCAATCCGTTCCATCGCACATAGCTGATCACACCTCATATTGTATAATTTTAAATATAAATTCAAGTCGACTATTGTTATTTCACTTTTGCAGTAATACGCGCATTACATTAAATTATTATTTTTTCCAACTTATCGTGTCTGACGAGTTACTGCGTTTCGAATTATTACTTGGTAGGTGCAGTTAAAATACTAGTTAGCGTTCTGCGACGAGGTTCACAAATCAAAAGGCACGAAATACGTTTGAATTTTAAATAATTCTATAATCTGTAATACGCACCCGATAACTACTGCAGTTAGTGACTCCGCCCAGTGAATCGAGTATATTTGAACGAGGTGAACTTTCTAGGGATATGCTGGGAATAAAATAGCATTACCACGGTCGTTGAAATTACAAACACGTACCTATACTGCTGCTAAATTCAAAGTGGTAGGATGTGAAAAACGTACAGCGAACTGAACAAATTAATAATATAAAGAACGTAGTTTAAAGCTTAACATTATTTTATAGGAATAGCTTCAATTATTGTCTTGTGATAATTAATAAAAATGACTGATGGTATTTTCCCTCCTTTTTTCTTCATTTCTTCTGATGACTTTTATATTATGTTAATTAAATTCCTAGGTATACAGAACGAACAAACGCCATCAATTTATTTTTAAAAGAATATATTTTCTCCGTCACAATATCGATCTACTGTAAAATATTTTGAAATTAGGTTGTGATTGGGTTTTCTGATGAAATACAAATGAGATCACTGGCAATATTGGCCGATTACGGGATTATTGTCATGTACAACTTTAAGCGATCGGGCTATGTAGACAAACGGATATAACTAGGGGGTCGGAAATAACTATGTCCGGCGCATGATACCATTTGATATAATTGAATTATATAACCAATCAATTTTATATTGGAATAATATATTTGACACTAAGTCCAATTAATTTGAAATATTTTTAAAAAAAGATAACAGTTTTATATAGATTAAGTTATTGAATCAATTTCGTAACAAAGTATTCCGCACTTATATGTATGTGATTCATTTTTAAATTTAAAAGTATTGGTATTTACAATAAATTATAAATCAAGTAATATTTATTATTAATAGCGCCTCCTAAGATCAGAAAATATTTATTTTATTTTTCATCGTATTATTCAAATTATATTATGTCACGAAATATCTCCGGTTATATTTTAAGATTTAATAAACTCATTATTTGAATAGTTTAATATTGTACACAATTTAAATAACAATTTGGTTTTGAAGTACAACATGATGTTAATATTAATTTCGTTTCTATCACCACGCCGTCAAGTAATAATTTTTCCAAAAAAAATTGTCGGATATGTTTGTTCTAACTATGGAAGGGATTGAAAACAGTTTTTAAAACGAAGTTTATGTTACTTAGATTTTTAAAAGGAAGTAACATATTTTGACGCCGCAAACTGCGCAATATTATTTATTTAAATGGTGATCTATATGTTGATAGAAAAAAAATTGAAAAATGTTACTTTTTTCCAAACCTAGGTGTTGGCGTCATAACTGTTGATGGCTTTTTTAATAAAATTTTACATTTTTAGAATTTTGTGGTGGAAGGATTTCCGAGTGAAATTCAAAACTAATCTAGATAGTTTACCACACCATTAAGTAATAATTTTGCAAGAAAAAATTGACGAATATGTTTGTTCTAACTGTTGAAGGGATTGAAAACGGTTTTTAAAACGACGTTTATGTTACTTAGATTTTTTAAAGGAAGGAAGTTATTTTGAAGCCGCAAACTGCGCAATACTATTTATTTAAATGGTGATCTATGTGTAGATAGAAAAAAAATTGGAAAATGTTACTTTTTTTCAAACCTAGGTGTTGGCGTCATACCTGTTGATGGCTTTTTTAATACAAATTTTACATTTTCAGAATTTTGTGGTGGATGGATTTTCGAGTGAAATTCAAAACTAATCTAGATAGTTTACGACCCCGTCAAGTAATAATTTTGCTAAAAAAAATTGTCGAATATGTTTGTTCAAACTGGGGAAGGGATTGAAAATAGTTTTAAAAACGACGTTTAAGTTACTTAGATTTTTAAAAGGAAGTAACATATTTTGACGCCGCAAACTGCGCAATATTATTTATTTAAATGGTGATCTATATGTTGATAGAAAAAAAATTGGAAAATGTTACTTTTTTTCAAACCTAGGTGTTGGCGTCATACCTGTTGATGGCTTTTTTAATACAAAATTTACATTTTCAGAATTTTGTGGTGGAAGGATTTTCGAGTGAAATTCAAAACTAATCTAGATAGTTTACCACACTATTAAGTAATAATTTTGCTAGAAAAAATTGTCGGATATGTTTGTTCTAACTATGGACGGGATTGAAAACAGTTTTTAAAACGACGTTTATGTTACTTAGATTGTTAAAAGGAAGGAACTTATTTTGACGCCGCAAATTGCGCAATACTATTTATTTAGATGGTGATCTATATGTTGATAGAAAAAAAATTGGAAAATGTTACTTTTTTTCAAACTTAGGTGTTGGCGTCATACCTGTTGATGGTTTTTTTAATACAAAATTTACTTTTTCAGAATTTTGTGGTTGAAGGATTTTCGAGTGAACTTCAAAACTAATCTAGATAGTTTACGGCACCACCGAAGTGAAATATTCTGAAGAAGAAATCACAACTCATACTTCGATGACTCAATAACGAAACAGGAAACTAAATTCTATAATATTAAATGGTTTTATTTTAGCGGATATAAAATATATGAGCAGTCTAACAAGAGAGTCGAATGTTGAACTACAACTTATCTAAAAAAATATATATTTGATCATTCATTTTAGTATTAAGTTCTTTGAGCAGTTAAAAATCCCGAATAAAAATAAAGTTCATCCTGCCAAAATATTTAGTGTTACCTTAAAATCGTGATCATATTGTGCATAAATACACATACATTTAAATTTTAAATATACAACAGTCTATTTCCATCTATTTTACATCTATATTTATATTTATACCGATACATATTTTATAATTATAAATCAAATTGAGGTGTCTTAGCGTGGCCTTGGGCAATATTCAAAACAAATGTACCGTATGGGGGTTTTACAGGCAGATTGAGGACTCGGCGAGAAGTGATCATTAAGTGTCATTAATAGTTTTAATGGATAAATTTTGTCACAGGACAGTTCTGCAATCTCTCATCCAATCCTCAAATCTGATCTTTTAAAAGTTACACAGCTCACTAGCTACTACAGAGGAAGCTTAAATCAAAGTTGTATATACTCAGCACCTGTTCCTGGAAAATTGAGAGAGGAAATAGAAACTCACCCCGTGGCGTTACCCTTGAGGTTTTTATAGCGACTTAAAAAAAAAATTCTACGAATCACTATCCTCACTGACTGTGTTAAAAAATGCTGTATGGCTCTTGTTGTTTGTGCCTAAAAACTGGCTAAGCCGATTTGCTAAAGAAGTTGTTGCACCACTTAAACCGAAATGCACGTGCGCCGTATTTGATGATCAATTTTTTTCTTTTCGGGAAGTCTGTCGATACAACTACTACCATAGTACCCAATACCCATAGGATACAATAAAATTTTATTCTATTACACATTACATTATAATATTATCACATCGTCAATTCTGGGGTCGACTCATCGTAGGGTGTAGTGAAACACTATTTGGTGTGCATATGCGCCGGCGACGAGTGATGGCTTACTGCGGCGATCAGGACGCGAGCATCTCCTCAATCTCCAAAAAGGTCTTTCCCTTGGTCTCGACCATGACGAAGCCGGCGGAGGCCGCCCAGACGAAGTTGAAGGCGGAGTACAGGAAGTAATTGGAGTGGACGCCAAACGCTTGAGTCATGGTGGTGTAGATGCCGTCGAGGACGAACGAGCCGCTGGCCAACATCATGACGCACAGCGGGGCCGCCCTGGTCTTGACGTTGGCCGCGAACATCTCGCCGAGCAGCGTGTACGTGAGCGTGCCGGCGCCCAGCGAGTAGGACAAGGCGTACCCCCACAGCGCCACCACCGGCCACCACGCCAACGGTTTGTGTTCGGGCCCGTTGGCCACCACGTACAGGCCGACGCCGTAAGCGGCGGTCACCAGGGCCATCAAGGCGTGCGACCCCACCATCAGCGGCTTCCGTCCCATCCAGTCCACCAAGACCAACGGCACCAGGTTACCGACGCTCTTGACCAGGCTGAACACCATGACGGCCACCAGCGGATTCATCCAGTAGTGGGTGTTCGGCAGCGTGATCGAGCTGAAGTGTATGAACTGCTCACCGATTAGATTGTTATCACGGTGAGTTCGCAAATGTGTAAATATTCAATTAATATGAAACACACCGTATAATAATAATTGAATCGGACATTTCGAAAAGGCCATTTCTCCACAAATTTTCAAAACTAGTTTTATGTGACGGATGTGTTTAACTAATAATAATGCATATTTCCTACGATAAATTTATACAATAAACAATTTATCAGAGTCACGAGGTCGTAATCAATGAAAATGTACAATCCATTGGAAAAGGTCGTATCTCAAACACGTTCATTCCCTCATAAAATGATCAATATTATAATATCATAGTTGGATTTTTATAAGGGAATTAAATAATTCAACCGTTATTCAATTTTCATCTAAATTTAATTTTGATCTCTAAAAACAGTTTTTTACGTTTCCTGAAAATTTTCATTTTATGGAGATATGGCCTTTTCCAAATGACCGATTCAATTATAGTATTATGCGCGACGTAAAAATTATGTGTGATGATAATAATATTATTATGACAGAACATTTTGTAGAGATTGGCTTTTTTTCAGGGGGGGGAGAGGGTGCTTAATAACTTATTTTTATTTTACTCGATTTCATAAACAAACCTCGGACGGGTTTGAAACAATAGGTTAGGTTAACAATCTTTCAAAGAGTACAAATCATTGTTAGCATATTATCACTAATACTCATTAAAAATATTTCCAAATACAAATAATAAAAAATATAATTATTAATAACGTCATGTTTGAATTATCCACCGGGGTGTAGTTCCTTGTCTAAATATAAAATATATTACAGTTAAATTTGTATAAAATATAGGGTACAATCGAATTTCAAGATGAACATAACGTTACGCCCTTGCGGGGATGCACCTGAAGGATATTATGTTATGTCAAAACGTCATGAATATAATATAATGTGTTTTTCACATTATATATTTTTATACACCTAGGTAGGTACATTATGAACCGTGTAATAGTGATGCGATGCGATGTTAAAAATCACTTAAATCGTAGATGTATGTTTTTCGATTACTAATCCATACGTAGGCACCTACATTCATTTGAGAAATTGTGTGAATAATTTCTGGTTTCGCTAAAAATATAATACTTTTTTTCGAAATTAATTATTTTTAAATACTTAATATGATAAAATATAATATTTTAAAAAGGTACAACTTATCATCTACGATAAGTAAAAATCTTTTGTTTCTACTGAAAAAAATGTCCATCCAATAGGTTCCAGTCTTTCCAAATTCTCCTAACCAGCCCAGAAAGAAAACATTTGCAGAAACTATGACGACTGACGAATCAAAATTCATCTTCAGAAACCTGTATTTACCGTGGTAATATTAATTTCAAATTTAAATAATTTAACTACACCACTAATTTCCCCCCTTACCGCTGTTTTTCATCTACCCACATAAGTTTATACTATAATAGTATATTAGTATATTATTTCAAATCTATATAACTCATAATATTATCCACAACATATTATGGCCGTAACATTTTTGGGTACACATAACGATATTTTTACCTGTGAAATGGGAGAACGGTTGGGTAGTTACACATTTTTTTTCAGGTACCATAAATTAATTGGAGTTTGTCGTTTACGCATCATTAATACCTTAGGTAAAAAATTGGTTGGTCGTTTGAGTAAAAGTTTTTAAACAATTTTTTTTTTTTTTACTAGGTATTTTACTTTTTAGAGCCTATTAGCGTTACCCAAGAGGCACCATGACTCATGAGGATGTTAGCTGTAGTTTCTTAATAGTTAATCTCCCAAAAACTTTTATTTTTTTTTCAACTTAATTTAAAAGTATGTTGATCATTATGTGTTATATTAAATCTATAAAAATAAAAAATATTTATATAAACTGATAATGTTATTTTTTTTTTGATTGGATGCTTTTATTTATTTAAAATACAGTTATGACATATATAATAAAGACAATAAAATAAATCTACTGTTTTATGTTAATAGCTTGTGGTGAAGGAGTGAGTTACCGTCTAACAAAATAACTTATTATTTTACTAAAATACCTATCAACTATGAAAAATATATATTGTACCTATAATATCTAATTATTAAAAATGTGAGGAAAAAGTCTTTAGTTAAATAACAAAAACTATTAATAACTCTTCATTACCTATTTACGTATTTTTAGCTTATGAACAATTTCTAATCTATACGGTGTGGGTATTATATTATAATAAGACATCAACTTGTTAACAATATATATTAATAATATTATTAATACCTAACTGATTTATAGAATAGCATTATTTACTATTATACTGTTAAACATGAATAATATAAATATAAAAAAAATATATGAATATTATTGTATATAATATTATAATATAAACATATTATTGTCATCATTATTATTTAGTGAAATATTAAAGAAAACATTTTAGAAGAATTTAAATATTTAGATTTAATATGAATGCATGAACATTAAATAAAACAGAAATTAATGCATATTGCATAGACACACTAAATATTATGCTATGCATTTAATAATTCAAATTTGGCAAACAGTGTCATTAAAAAAGTAAATTTTAACTTAGCCCTCAGAATTGAAAGAAGAAACTACCTATACTCAGCTAAATCTCTATCTAGGGGTTTTTCGTTTTTTATAATATTATCTTAGCATTTTATTATGGCAGTAAACGAGTAAGCAGCTGCAGGTGCGGACCCGAAATGATGAACTGCTTGCAAATATACAAATTCAAATTGACAAGTCCATCATCATATTATATGCTTTACATTACTCGCTAACGGGTAACTATGATGTTAGTCAGCCTCAATGGAAAACCGAGGGCGACGTATATTATTTTTAATGAATATTATATAACAATATAATATACACACTCTAAAAAATCAGGTGGTGGCGATCACTGGCGTATATAGAAATAATTTTTGGGGTGGGCTATAGTAGACAGAAACTAGCAAGTGATCTATTATTTAGAGGCTACTGTCTACTATATATTTAACAGTTTCTATAAATATATTCGTATTTGTTATTTTTCAACAGGCTATGAAATATTATAACTTATAATAGTACCTAATAAAATATATTGTTGTTCTGTTTAAAAAGGATGTAATTTCGGGGGGGGGGGCTGAAGCCCACTGTGCCCACTTCCTATATACGCCACTGATGGGGCATGTTCTACCGGTAAAATATGGCTTTTCCTCTTCCAATCTACCGTTTGCGCAATTTTATAATGATTATTCTAAATATAATCGTATAATAATGTTTACCAAAAATGTATCACGATATACTAACCGGACTAATGCCGCTCAGCCTCTGAAACACGCAAGCCCCCGCCGTAATGACGAAAGCCTTCCGGTTGGACTTGTTCATGAACAACTCACCGTACGTCGCCTTTGACTGCATCTGCTTGGCGACCGTCTTCTCGATCATCTCCAGCTCGTCCGTAACGTCGCCCTTGGCTCGGATGCGCCTGAGCGATTTCTCGGCCTGATCCCTCCGATTTTTCTGCATCAGGTAGTAAGGGCTCTCGGGCATGAATAAGAACAGCACCGTGAACACGGTCGAGAACGACAGACCCAGCATGTTGAGCTGTTGGTAATCGAGCACCTGGCCGATGGACTGTATGCCTATCATGCCCAACGCCAAACTGATCGGAAACATGGACAACACGGTACCCCTCAACTTGACCTCGGCTATCTCACCCACGTATATGGGTATGGAGCACAGTGTCATCCCCTTGGCCAGTCCGGCGAACAGTCTGGCCGCGTACAGCACATCCAACCGGGAAGGCCACACGAGAATCGCTGTCCAGGCGATCATGTTTAACGGTCCGATGATGCAGATCGTCAGCTTCCTGCCCAATAATCCCAGCAAAAAACCGCACGGTATGGGGCTGATCAGGTTTCCCAAGTCGTACATGGCGATCATCATACCGTAATTGGTCACGTCCAATTCGGTCTTGTTGTGCTTCATCAGGTAGGTGGCCGGCGACGACCATCCGATCCAATTACCGCATACCAAGTAACCCATACACGCTGCAGACGAAACGAATAGTATATAGGTACTTATCACACCCAATCGTTATCGTTATTGATATTATTATTAAACTGAGGTCTTCGAGGTGACTGCAAAGGCCACCACGGTTATGCGTATAGTATTGGTTATTTATATTTTTTCTCTGAATATTATGTACAATATTATTCAACAGTGAAAGGAATACGATTTTTTTAATCATATATTTCATATTTTGTTTGTCTAAGAATTAAGGACGAACAGAACAGTGGACAATAGATTTTGTGTACTCAATTTGTGTACTCATTTTTTTTTTTTTTTTTTTAAGTTAATTGGTATTGTATTTTCTTTATTTTCCGTTGATTTGATAAGTTTATGTTTATGATTTACTGTTAATATGATTCACCTGTTGTTCAATTTGTACTTTTGTAGCTTATTTTCTACTATTATAAACTAACATTAACAGCAGCCTTGTAATAATTTAGAATGCTGTTTAAAATACTTTAAGAAACAAACATTCAAATCCATATAATTTTATTCATTAAAAAAAGTTTTTAGTTACTAGCATTATTATTTATTGTTCTATAAATACTTGATTCTATAATATTAATACGCTGATATTATATTGACGTTAATTTCCAACTATTACAAAACCTACTGGTGTGGGGAAATATATTTATTCTAAAATTATTTGAATATAATTTTTAAAAAAAGTATTCAAATCCATATTCTGAACACCTTTTTGCCCATTCTTTCGAATACAAAATAAAAGTATTCTTCACAAGAATGCTTACAATATTACATTCTGTTATTAAATTGACATCGCAGACATGACTGTGTTAATAATAATATTATTATTCCTACTAGTATAGGCATAAAATCGAAGTAGGAAAACACACCTCGACAGTGTTGGAATTCCAGGTTTTTGTACTTTATAAAAGAAAATGATTGTAAAACTATGTAAAACTATATTAAAATAGTAATTTCAAGGCAAATATTTCAATTTTTGTATGTAGCTGGTATTCTATCATAGCATAAAGGGATGCAGCATAAAGAAAAATGAATCTGGATAACCCACACTGACAAACAATTTAACGAAATATACACAAGGATGAAAACTCTATATAGGTACACCTTATTAAATAATTTATCAACCTTGCAGTTGAAATTTTCTTTCTACTATAATACAGAGATAATAAGACCGCATGCCAGTTAACTTTCCCATAGCTGTTGCATCCCGCAAAAAAAATTATAAACTTTCCTAAATAAATTCCTGAGAAATCACTAAAATACGAAATAAACAGCTTATTAAAAGTTATTTTGATATATTTTGTGTAACTAGATGTTGACCGAACTATTTAAATTCATGAGAATTTGGCCTTTTAGTTGATATTTTACTTTGTTTAAAACTTGAAAATTACTCAGAGCTATCCATACGAATTAACTCGAGCCCGCAACACTCCTAAAAACCCTTAAAAGCCAAACCCCTGACCACCCATATAACCCTAATAACTTTTTTCTCAAAACACCCGATTTAATTGAAACCCGAATAAAATATCCCGGTTAACCCGAAACCCAATATTGTCTTATTTTACAAATTATTAAGAGAAACAATTTTACTATAACTAGATACAAATTATTATTAAAAGTAGTAACAAAGATGCGAATATGCTCAGTAATTTGTGGAGGGAGGGAGGGGATGTGGTTAGTTTGATTATATCCGAAAAATATTTTCCTTGTAGTATAAATTTACATTTTACGTCATATTATATCTGATCAGTGATCACTCTTATAATTTTTCTTAGATTTAACACCCGCATTAACCCACATGAACCCGAATAACGACCATAATTATTCAATTTTTAATCTGGTAGTTGAATACCTGAGTACATCCAGCACCCGAAACCCGAATAAATGATTCAAAGCCCTGAAATTACTACGGATTTTAGTTATTTTACCTTCATGTTGTAAAATATAATGAAACTACATAAATATGACAGCATTTGCACCATGCCCTAATATTTGTTAAATCAAAGAAATTGTAAAACTATGATTGCTTCGAAAAAAAAATACACTTATAATATTATGCTGCTTAATATTGTGTTTTTTAGGAATGTTTTTTGTAAATAAAAAAAAAAAATCATAATTGAAGCGAGTTCCCATTTCGCTCGTTTCCGTGTACATGCTTTGTTCTACAAATTTTCTGTAAATAATATATTATACCAATGCATATTATCATTAAAAATGCAATTCTATTTATAATCTAAAATTATAATATTGTATTATGTACATTAATAATTTACTATAATAAAAAAAGTTGAGTCTTAATAACCCGAATCTCTAGGAGAACAAAAATAAATTCGCGTATGAATTTTTCAAATGATGTACCTCAAATAAAACTTAAAACCACTTCTAGGAGCAGGAAAAAAAATAGAGTTATCGAAGTTTTTAAGATATCGAGACTTGACTGTATATTATAACAAATAATAATATTGTATAATTGTATTTCTATACCTACCTTGAAGTATTTATGAATAAAATAATAAATACCTATTAGAGCAATTGAAAAGGTAAAGAACACTGTTTTGAATCTTCCTTCAGCCATTTTAAAAGATTTAAGAAAAACACTAGCTGATTAATAATAATATAATATAGATACACTTATTACATATTAATGTGAAAATCATAAAACAATAAACGAAATATTTGTTTTTAATTTCGATGGCAACGATATGATTATTAAAAATTATGTTTAATTCCTAAACTATAACCGGTAAAGTAGATTAAACAAGACTGTACGGATGGTAACCAAAAATAGAAGCCTGTTTGTTGAACACAATCTGTATTGATCTAAATTAGAGGTTTTTTAAAGTAAGTAAAACAAATTGTTGCATAGGTATTATGTTTCTTTTAAAAGATAAAAAAAAAAACTATTGAATAAAATAAGACTACACAAGTGTTGCAAAAATGAACCATTATATAGTATTTAAAATGTAATTTCATGTTAAAATCTATAAAATTATTTAGATTTTATATTATATAAAATAAATAGCGTATATCATATATTTTTAGAGAATAAAAACTTTCTAAAATATATTCCTTTTAAAATAATGTTACACGTAAGAACCGTAGAAACGTAGGCATTATGTTTTTTTTCTTCAACCCTTCATAATGATAACAACATATACTTTATTGTTCAATGATAACCATGTCTATTGTCCTGCACGCTTGTTAAGAATTTTAAAAGTTGTTTAAAAATAAAGTTACTGCATATCGTTTCAAGGGCTCTCCTGTGGTATGTTCATAAAAAAAAAATTGACATACAAGTGTATTATTATATATGTTAAATGGTGAAATATATCAATACATGAATATATAAATATGTTGTGCAACCATTCCATGGTAAATAATCAATTTTAAGTTTCAGAAAATGCAGCACCAATAATAATGATATATTAATTATTATTTAAATGTTAAATAGTGGCAATGTAGAATAAAGGCATCAAATATTGTTATTGTACTCTCAAATAACAAATGTATGGTTTGATATTTAATTCTATAATTTTTAATTTGTAGGTATAACTTTATTATTATTTGTATTCAATTCTCCACGTATTTTTGTGCATGTACCAGTTTCCCTCAAAATAACCGTTTTATACCGACCCCTCCCCTTTGAAAAAAAGCACCAGTTGCCCTCGACGTATTATGCACAAGATAGATACCACACTTGGCGTAAAATATAGGGAAGGCAAATATATAAATAAGTGAAGATAAAAAAAATACATATAAAAAAATAATACAATTCACTATATTTATGAAAATAAACGGTTTAGGTTCTATTTTATATGCAAAAAAAAAAAATAGATAATTTTGAAATGTTTAAATTATAAATTATTTTTGAAGGTTTAACGACAAACAGGTTTTACAAAATCTACTCAACTGATATTTATTAAAATCTTATACAATATAAAATCATCGATTTGTTTTTTTTTTTTTTTGTCTGAGTATGCGCTATTGGTGATGATTGATTTTTGTGTACACTACTTATAGCGATACCTACAAAATCTACTCGTTTGAACTTCTTTGAGAACATTCATAAAAACGAAAATATTCAGAAGTGCAATGATAAAGTCCCTTGAAAATTATACGAATGGAATGATTCACATACATTTGTATAGTCCTACCCGAATCAATTGAATTCATAGCCTACAGAGAAGGTGGGGAATTCAAGCTTGAGGAAATATAATATGTGTCAACCAAATAGTCGGAAATGTCAACTATTTTTTTTTTCTGATAAACGTTGAATTGATATCAGATATTCAATAAGACAATAGCCTATTTCGAGAGAGGGTATAGTACCTAATGAATGACAGACAATTAAGTGAAGCCATTTTCCAAATTCTGAATTAGGATCCATAGTCTTTTATCCTACATTTTAAATCCACTATGACTGAGTGAGATGAAATCTGCATCAAACGGTTGAAATTAATAACCCCAAACGACTTTGAAAGGTACATGAATACAGTGTTCGAAATCAGAAGCAAGTCACAATATAATTAACAGATTCGAATCAAGCCCAATGCTAGAGCATTTTCCTTTGTAGACATTAAACAATAAATTGCAAGTTGTTCATGATTTGTTATGCAGGATACACAAATGAAATATAATAATATCCTTTTTTGGATCAGTGTATCGTAGAAAGTTGCATAAAAAAATTTGCTCAAACGTTCCGTCCACGAAATTTTTATCTCGTAACCAAACTATTTCAAACTTTGTTCTATACAGCAAAACTACATTTTTCGTGTCGTTGTTGTGTAATAGAAATGTCTCATCTTTATAATAATACATTTTATAATGCCTAGTGAACTTGAAAAATAGATTTTATTAATTGTGAAAGCGTTTTTCTTCTCGTGCGATAAGTACTTCTACAAATACTAGTTTAAATAGTTCAATGATACATCTGAGATACTTCATTGAACTTCTTCGAGTATTCATTTAAATGAACGTTTAGAAAATAT